TCCCTGCAATCTTACCTCGGGGGCAGGGAACCCCAGGCCCTGAGGCTGCATGTGGAATTTTCGTTTGGGCGAGTTGAAACCTTCCTATGTGCCACACCAATATGTGTACAAGCATTCATTTGTAATTACAGTCATCTGGAATAGTCAGTGCAAAATACAATGGCCTTTCCTCTCTTGTTATTCTGAATCATTTGTAGACATTCATGTTTTAATCATATTTTTCCACATGAATCAATACTAGAGAAAGAATGATGGAGAGATAATTATGTGCCCTGAACAAAATACTTTAGCTAGCTGAGGTTCAGCTAGGGAGGGCTGTTTATAATTAACAAGGTACTGCCACACACCTGTCAAGTGCAGCCAGCACTGAAAGGGCCAAGCCATTGTTCAAAATTCTGAGTGCCAGGAAATGTAACAAAATCAGAAAGAGAATAACAAAGTTTTGCACCATCTCTGCAGTGGCAGGTGCTGAAGAGTGGGACACATGGCATGCAAAGAGAGTGCAGAATTCATTCCGCTGCATTACAAATATTAAAAGAAACCTGGGTTCTCTCACAGCTCCACCCAAGATTACCAACCTTTCATATGAAACTGGAGCACAGTTTAAAGTGAATGTGGGCCAGTGCAGTTTCTGCATTGAAATGACTTAAAATGATGGAGTTGTGAGTGAGATGTGAAACTGACCAATGATCTGTTGATCAATTTTCATTTTCTTTTTCATTTTTATATGAAAAATAGATCTCAGGGGCATATATATATATATATATATATATCTTTCAAGAGTCTGTAGGTTTTGAAAAAATATATTAAAACAAGGGATAGTTAATAAGGAGTGATGTTTATTTAACATTAAATCAAATAGAAGGAAATTAGCACTACCCTTGGAATTACATGTATCATCATTCTTTCTAACAACTCAAGATAGTAAACGCACCACAATGCATATTATCTACACATAGCTCAGCTTTCAGCGCACTACCCTTGGAATTACATGTATCATCATTCTTTCTAACAACTCAAGATAGTAAACGCACCACAATGCATATTATCTACACATAGCTCAGCTTTCAGCTGCTAAACAAATCTGAGTCAACAAGAAATACTCATGCTCTCCTTGCAAATACTATACAATATTTACTGACACTGGAAAGGAGAGTAAAAGGCATTCACTCTGGCTTATATAGTTTCTCTGGGAAATGTTTAGGATTCATGCTACACAAGAACAAGTGAAAGAGAGACCTGTAAAAACAGAGAAGTTTTCCTGGTTTGAAACTTTCAGTTTGTATGTGTCACCAACTCAGAGTAGAAGCCCTAGAGCAAATTAACACATGGCTTCAGGGTTTGTAGACAGATCCATGTTTCAAAGAGCTTGCAAATAAGGTTTCATCCTACAAAACAACTAACATCACACCTAGTACTTGCTACTTCTGTCTCATAAGAGCCAGAACTCGACCACATAGCAAAGATCTGGCCTTAATGCAATAAAATATACCATGTAATTAGCAACACAGGATTTTAAAAAATCATTAGGATCAGAGTTTGATATCTGCAACACTCTAAAACATTTAAGGTAAGAAAGAAAAAAGATTCATTTAAACCATTAACACATATATAAACTTTGTTTGAAATGTAATCATGCAAATGTCCTGGCACCTCCCTCCCCCCATGTAGCCT